ACTTATTGAGATATAACAAAAATATATTCATTATTAACTCTACCCAATGTTTAATTTATTTGAAACCATCAAGTTCAATCTGGGTATTGATACGAATGATAGTAATTATTTTCTAGTACATAAGTTATTTATAAAAAGTGTCCGAATCCAACCGTTAGTAACTCGATGCAATTTTGACTAGTTAATTATGTGTAACGAAATGTATCTCTGTATACATATATTAGTTTGTGTTAGGTCCCGAGAAGCATAATGAATGGTAAATTTGGGATCCTTTTATGGGCCAATACTATGCGTATATTTTTATCGTATAATTGTTAATAACTAAACTATTCATATTCATATTCCTCTTATTATAAACTTCGTTTGACCTATGAACCATTATTATACGTTTTACCATTCTTGAATTATGCCCTATCTATTAGTCACTGCCTCGTACATTCACAGCCTCATTTGGTCGAATTTTGTACAAATGTTATTTTCTATTTCACGCTACGTTGTGGTCTGTCTGATTGATATATAAATCCAGTATGTTTGAAATGAATGATTCATATTGCAGAGGCTGAGATTGGTGTTCTGTACTTAACTGACTGGACTAGGCAGGAAGCAGGACCGATAAGTAATCTAGATTGCTTGCACATGTTTTACGCGTCCTTGGTCCGATCGATAATTCGCTGCTTCTGATTGGCGGCTTTGGGCTATAACAGTTTGTTATGTCAGTGAGTTGTATTAGTAATGTTACAATGAGGTGGGCAGTATGTACAAAAGTTTCGGTATTCAAATACAATGAATGATGTTTATTTTGAATGAAACTTATAAATACTTGCTATAAAGGCGTATGAAAATACTGTACCATAGTGTAATTTTAAAGAAATCAAACAAAATCACTCAACTGTGTTACGTCTGTAAGAAATCTGTTGAATATAAAATCAAAACTTAAGTTGGTTTAGAAGGATAGAAAAAAGGTTTGTAGGATGCAGAAATCAAACAATTGAATTAAAAATGAAGTTTGAAATTCGCTGAAATACTCGACTGGAATCTGACTTAATGATCTATTAATTGGTTATTTGCTGAAAGATACACAGATTTTGATTCTAAAGTCATTTAGAATCATGATGAAAACCGTTATGGATAAACATTATTCAAAGTTCCTTAGTTTTCAATGGTTCACTTATTAATGTTAGCTTCCAGTCATAATCCTTTTCAAACTTAACTGAATGTTTCACAAAATCATTTCTCATGTGAGATAGTAACTCAGTGAAGACCATGGTGGGCGGTGACGCAATTTTGTCAGTTGGTCGATGTTAGACATTAACATCGTTGGATGCCGGCTCATTAGTCTACAAGTTAAGCGTTCACGCACGCGAGATCGATAGGGCTTTGGTTCAAATATCGCGAGGCGGGATGATGGATGCGCACTACTAAGAAGTCCCATACAAGGACGAAATAACCGTCCAGTGCTTCTAGGTTTTCCATAGTGGTCTAGCTTCAATTGACTCATGAATTCAACGACTAAATTTAACAATAATTAAGAATTTCTATATTCATGCTGATTTCAATTCAACTAATATAAAAAAATCACTGTTTGATTTAAACCAACTATTTCTCTACATTCTTTTTACATTGTCTACTTCAAAAAAGTTGTTTTTTAAGCCCTATATCTTTTAAAAGTGATTGATTATCTTATCATGGATTGTAATTTATTTTAATAATGAAACCATTTGCATCTGTCGGTTATGATATGTGGTATTTCTATATCAATAAAATTCATAATTTAAATACAATCCACAAACTGATTAAGTCTAGATTTCATTATTAAATTATAAACAACTTCATAGTAATTCACTTGGCATGGCTTACTTGAATCTTCCCATTGATGTTTAGAACTGCAATTGATCAGTATCTTATTGGAATATGTACATCCTGTACATACTGCCTTAATTCAAAAGCATTCTAAGGAAAGGTGGCTAGTGGCTAGCAGTGGAATCCAGGACGCGAGTTTCGTCCTATTTAGAACTCATCAGTTAAATGCACTTGAATCTCAGATCTGATGTCCACTCTGAGACTGAGTGGCGAACTGGATACCTCGATGGCATTCAAAGCGAACGGCACTGGGTTCAAGTCCCAGAATGAACACTTACTCTGAACTGTAGGTACATCCAGCTGAAGAGTCTCAAATAGGACGAAACGTGCGTCCTGTTTTTCACTGTTAGCCACTATCTATCTTGCTTATAACTTCATAGTAATATTAATAGTAAATACAAGAACAGACAAGTACACTTTGAAGAATTGCTTATTGTCAAATAGAGATTAATTTAATGTCTTTAATTTTCAATCCAAATTATTCATCATTCATAACTCAGTGATATATGTGTTTTTAATAAGAAATTTTCATCTTAATTTAGATAGTCCCGTTAATTGATTGAATGAATGATTATTGATGAGTTAATAGTATTTTACTTTGGAATTCTTAAATGTTACTATCATGTATCCTTATGAATAAAAGAAGAATATATTTTCGGTGTTTATTAACTGTGATTGTTTTAAATTCTACATAGTGATAAGATCATAATGATTGGTAATATGACTGACTAGTTAAATTGATAAATCTTCTTTCAATTAAACATATTTTCGCTTCTTTATTTCTTTGAAGAAAAAAAGTGTATTCAAACCTTTATGATTGTTTGTAATCACAATTTGTATACGTAAGTTAATTTCAAAGTTAATCTGTAATGGTATCATTAAAGTTTATTCTATAAAGGGGATATAATGGATCGATATAAAGTATTGTTAATGTGAAAATCAGTTAGAAATTTCAATGGTAAATGATATTAGTGCTAAGATGAACTAAGTTAAATGAAAGATAATTAATTATTCATTAACTATTTAATATACATGGTATTTTTTTGTTGTTGTTGTTGGATTTTTATTGAGAGAACTACAAGAAACTATAGAGGGATGAACGGTTGTCTTTATCATATGCTACTTATCTGAGGATACCTGTAATTACATATGTAATCGAAATCAGGGTGTTATGTTCCAGTAACGAATTTAAATAACCAATAAACAGCAAAGATGAGAAGATTGATAGTTTGTGGATAATGGCCGGCTCAATACTAACTAGCTCCAAACGAAGATGATGAACACAAGACTAATGATCACCAGTTCAAGTTTGTAATTATATTTTAGATAGAAGTAGTTTATATACTAGTTGATCAGACTGAATCACATCATGAAATAAAAAATGACAATTATATGCGATCAAGCTGAAAAGTGGCTGAGAGTAGGGGAAACTGTGAATAACAGATTGGAAATAAATTAATAATAAAAAATCGTATGACAATACTTGATGGGGTAATTGAATGCTTATGACAAAAGGAATGTATCTATAATAATCTAGTTGCTTATACAATGAGAATATATATGTAGTAATAGTCCATAAATTAGTCCTAGGAGTTACCATTACTTTAGTCTCCGTTCAGATATAACACATAGACTTTAAGTTCTTGATGAGCAAGGTACCGATCACATGCTTAGTTGACGTTCAGTTGTCTACTCTTTCACAATACAACACGATTACTACTCATCATCCAATTTACCCATTGATAACTGGATAATTAGTAAGTGAATTAGAATTTCTAGATAAAAATTTTCATTTCGAAAAAGAAATGTAAACTCAAGGGAAGTAAGGAACACATACTCTGAAAATTAGTTAGCTTACTTGTAGTTCGTGCTCTTGTATATAATTAAGTAGTGAACTCTGGTAAGGTTAGAAATAGTTTATGATAGGGACGTATTATGGTACAAAACATATTGGTTATGATACATAATACAAAGTTATTTATAACAAATTTTACTTGTTGGTTAGAAAGAGTATTCATCAGTATTGGATTTTGTAATACTCCGTGATGGAAATCCTTTTGTCTTCAAACAGCCTTTGAAACTGGCTTTGTTGTAATTCACAAACAATGACACAGGATTATTTGCATTGAGAATGTGATAGTTTTGGAAGCTGATTCTTTAAGAGAACAATTCAGTAAAGCTCATTCTTACTATCAGGTTAACATTAATTCTTTGATATTGGTGTGAAGAATAATTTCCAATTAATAGCTAATTAAAGATGAGTCAGTCAATCAATGAGGTTCCGAGATATTTAAATTTATTATCAGCTGTTACTCAGATTTGTTTTTAGATGTTAAGAGAGACTGAATTCTTAGTTTTTTCTAACAATCAAGGGATCAAGCTGTAAGAAGTAGTTGACAAAGTTAACATAAATCTACAGGTGTTTAGTGAAGTGATAAGCTTTATTTACTAAAATAAGACATCAGGAAGTTTATTGAAATTATGATTTCTGCACGAATTGTTACTCATAGATAATTCACATTGAGTTAGAGCCTTCAAACTAGAGATCAGATGTACAGAAAAAAACTGAAAAATGTCAGAGGAACCGTTGCTATAGTAACTATGATTAAAACAGGTTGATACACATAAAGTCTACTTATGTAAGATGAAGATATAAAACGTTACTGTTTCTTTAATGAATAAGTTTCAAATTAAATTGTTTATTTTGTCTATGATTTCAAGTATTAACATTTTCAACTAAATAATACGAAAATATTTGCTTCACAAATAACATAACTATAAAATCATTTTCTAAGACAATATTTCCACTCAAATGTATTCATTCCTTACAAAAGGTTTATTGCAGGGTGATATCAGTTGAAAAACTATTTAAATGTATGCGGGATTAAACATGCATTTTATGATACTTTGAAAATCCTTAGCGTTGTACATTTGTGACCACACACGTAGTGAAATCCAGGACCTCTCAATCTAACAATCAGCATGAGATTTTTTATAAATATGCATCTCTCATATGAATTAAACAATCAGACTACTTTCTTTTTCAAAAACAAAATGTTTTAAAAAGTATCACTTATTGTTTAAAATTGCCAACGATTTAGTCACTATGGAATATTTATCAACATACAGGTCATTGTTATTTATTCAGTTTCGTGTTTTAATCACTTCTCATTAGTATTAAATACAATCTAGGTGTTCTTGAATGTAGAGCGATTTCAATTTGTAGTTGTATATATGATAATAGAATAATTTACTTAGTTGAATTTAGATCTCACATGTTGACCGAACTTCAATCGATAAGAATATCTTAATTAATCTCTATATTATGGTCACATGAATAGATAATGGAATTCGTAACAAATTCTAGTGTTTTTGTTTTCAATTTGTTATCATTTATAATACAAACTATACACTTAATTTAATGGTAAATGAAAAGAAGAAGAAGAAGACTAAAATAGATCCAATTTCATTGAACTCAAATAAAAGTAAGCACTTTAAACACCATAAAAGATTCATTTGAATGCATTCCTATCATATAACTGTTTTGTAATAGTTCGAACATCGTAAACTAATTAACTGATTGTATTAAATATTATTTCATATACTTGTGTTGTTCCTTTGTACTATATAAACTTGAATTAATTTTGATTTGATTTTCTATCCTCTGAAGAAATGGCTTATAATGAGTTACGAAACGTCAGAAACTTTAATTTTTCTACTCATTAGGATATTACAAATATATTGATTTTGTTAATAACAATTTACTCAATGCTTAATTTATTTAAAATTATCAAGACAAACCATGGTAATGATACCTAATTAATAGTTTTTCAATCATCAAAACAGATTTACTTAATTAGGAAGAATGTATTTGGAAAATTTCAGCGAAATGATTTGAAGTAAATCCAACGTTTCACCTGGCATTTTCGTCCAAGCTTGGATCAAATACATTCTTCCTCTTTATTGTTAATATTTGTTTGTATTGAATTAGAAAACACAATGGAAGATGAGTTTGTAGGTATTATTATCAAGGTTTGACTTGATAATTCCGAATAAATTAAGCATTGGGTAGATTGTTATTACTCAATGAGTAGAAAAGTCAAATTTTCTGATGTTTCGTGACTCAGTATAAGTCACTTCTTCAGAGAATAGTATGAAACTCCTCAGCAATGTGCATCCATGAACTCGCCTCATGAAATTCGAACCCAAATTGTATGATCAGATTGTTCGAAATGTATTACGCAAATATATCACATAATTCAGATAAACTTCATCATCTTATTGCATTATCGAAATTCATTTATTTCAATTAGTGGATACTTTCTTCAACTCTAAACACTGAACTCTACCAATCACAAATGTATAGCAAAACTTTCGAAATTTATCTTAGAGCTACTTAGTAATTAACAAGGAATTGTAGTTTGGCTTTAAATTTCGATTTCTAGGTGACTTTTCTTATCCTTATGGTATGATGGGAAGAAAAACCAATTTTCAATTGATTTACCCATTATGAGTTTTATTCAACATTAAATCCATTCTAATTCAATGTAATGATTACTCAATGTAGTATTCGTTTCCTATTCTCGTATGATATTTTATTCTGTATAATATACGATATTCATGTATTCACTTGACATGAAATATGCTCAGTAAGTGATTTGTTATAACTGAGTATATGATTTGATCCTAATTATTAATCAAAAATGGGTGTAAAATCAATATATAAACCAGTGTATTTTAGACTATATTCATTCGTCGTCGTCATAGTGTTTGGGGCTAATAAATCTTCACTTATACCAGTATTTGTGTTCTTACTTTCGCGTCATGGGAATTGCAGAGGTCCCTCGTTTCGAGTATAAGTGATCAGCGATTTTCCGGCACAACAATTGCGACGACCCGAATACAACACCTTAGCCATCTAATGAGTGAATGCTGCTAAAATCACTGATTCTTGGACGAGAAAGCTGTTCACTGCTTCTTGACTTTCAATGACACATCACATAATTTTAATCCATGCACGAGTTTATAGAATCATAAGCTGAGCGTCGATGGTACATTCTTTCAACTTAAATACTGATCATTAACCTAATTGTATTGTTTCGTAGAAAAATAAAACTCTCCTAATTAAAAAAAGAAACAACATCACATAGTACAACAGCTAACTTTAAAAAAATCACTACAATCTAATACAATCGTTTTATTTTATATTCAGACTTCCAAGTTACCCATCATCACTTATTTTTGAATCCAAGACAAGTACATTTCAATAGTCTTTCATTTTGAATTGAATAAATAAATAAATTCCTAAATTAATCATTATGAATTGACTCGAAATTTTTTCATTATTTCAATCCATCTAACAGAAAAAGCTTAATATCCTATATAATAACAATAACGTTAGTAAACTAATTATCCATATACATTACAATACGATAGATACTATTGATTGACATAATTCATAGGAGGACATTTATACATTGATCAGAATCATATTAATTTAAGTAAATAGTTTAATATTCATATTTCCTTCAATATTCTATTCATTAAAGTATATTAGTTGTCTATTAGAAATCAATCAATTCATATTATGTAAATATTTCTCTTATGTAATAATGAAATATTATTCTCATTAAACAATCAATTGGTTTACTACTGTGAACTTGTTATACAAACTTTTGTGTATTTTTTAAAAAAAATTACTTTTGACAAAACTGTAAAATGTTCATAATAAATAAAACATGAGACAACTTAGAAACTATCAGTTTAGGGGTTGTGGAAATTGTTAAGTTTTTGATGGAGATCATGAACTGATTGATGTTAGACTACAATTGAAAACCTGGAAGTACTGAACGGCCGTTTCGTCCTATTGTGGGATTCCTCAACAGTGCGCATCCCGTGAGTGGGATCAGTGCTTCCAGGTTTTCAATTTTTTGTCCTTACCCTTAACCTACCCTGGTAATACTGATTTATTATCCAGAGTGGTTATCGCATTGGTTCTGTGTTCTTTATTATCATTATTATTTTCTTTGTTACGGCTTACCTTTAAACCTGTCTAGTTGACCTTTTAATTTTCATATAAAAATGTTTTAACAAGTATAGATGTATGATCAGATTGTTCGAAATGTATTGCGCAAATATATGACATAATTCTGATAAACTTCGTCTTCTTATAGCATTATCCAAATTTATCAAAGTGACTAATTGTTTTAAATAGATGAATTTCACAACATGTAACTAACCAACTGAAGTTGGAAATATGGATCACCCATTTGCGACTTATTAATCTAGAGGTTGCACACCTACTACTTGCACCTGTTACTCCCAGTGGAGCACAGCCCGCTGACCACCATGCCACAATCCACTCTGTCCTGAGCTTTCCTTTCTAGTTTTATACAATTCATGTTCATTCTTCTCATGCCAGTCACCATTTCCCGGCATAATATGTTCTATGGTCTTCCTTTTCTCCTCATTTGGCTTTGAGGATTCCAAGTGAGGGCTTGCTTTGTGATGCAGTCGAGTGCTTACCTCAATGTGTGTCCTATCCACTTCCAACATTTCTTCCTGATTTCTTCCTCCGCCGGCATCTGGTTTGTTCTCTCCCATAGTAGGTTGTTGCTGATAGTGCTGGTCAACAGATCAGAGTTATTTTGCTTAGACAACTGTTAATAAACACTTGTATCATCTCAACGATTGCTCTCGTAGTTCTCCAAGTTCCGCCCCATACAGTAGAACTGTCCTAACATTTGTATTGAAGATTCTAACTCTGGTGTTGGCAATTGACAGTCGTTTTGAGTTCCAGATGTTCTTCAGTTGTAGATATGCTCCTCTTGCTTTGCCAATCTGCGCCTTCACATCTGCATCAGATCCACCATGTTCATCAATGATGCTGATCAGATATGTAAAGGATTTTACATCGTACAAAGCTTTTCCGTCAACTGTGATTTGATTGTTGCCTGTTGTTTTGTATGGGAGAATTGTGCTTTTCCTTTAGCTTATGTTGAGACCTACTGCTACTGAGTCTACTGCTACACTGGTCGTCTTCTCCTGCATTTGTTGTTGCGTGTGCGATAGAATAGCCAGATCATCTACGAATTCTAGATCGTCCAGATTCACTCTAGCTTTCCACTGTATCCTATGCTTTCACCCAGGTGTTGACGTCTTTGTAATCCATTCGATCCTCGGGAGAAGAAGAAAGGATGAGAGTATGCAACCTTGTCTGACACTGGTCTTTACCTCGAACGTATTCATTCGTTTACCTGTTATTACTGTTCTTTATTACATCCGAATATCAAGATATTAATTTTGGTTAATGAGACTCTTAGAATAGTGGCTAGCTAAGGGAAGAAAATAAATGATAATAATAATAATAATAATCCATTGTTTAATAATTCAAACAATACTGTAAGTAGGATACTTTATTGTAAATTCTAATGACTATTACTATTATTATTATGTAACCCAGTAGAGAAAGTTTTGGTATTTATAGTAGGTAATTTCTGGCTTCAAATTTCAGTGAGCAAGTAAAATAAAAAAATCCAGGGGCATTCACTTGATAAATTGTTCAATTTACATTTTATTGTTTCCCTTATTGGTATGTGGTACCGTAAGTAAAATATGATTGATCATTGAGCGTGAACAAACAGGCACTCAATTTAATAACTATTAAATATGTGATTTCCTTTCCTCTTTATTGATTTCTAGTTTCGAACTCATTGAAAGTAATTGCTTGTAATTGTGTTGAATAAATTATTATCTAGTCTATATTCTGGTTCATTATTCTGGATCGTGAAATCGTGGATCTGATATAACGTGACTAGTCTAATTATCGTATTCACGTATTATCATAGTAAACATGAGAGAGAGAGAGAGAGGAAATATTCTAAACCATCCGTTATATCAACTATTAAACACATTTGTAAATAATTCTAACGGTAGAGTTAAATATTAGTGATTAACTTACTTAATACAAAATGTGTATAGAGGAACTTTGTATTCAACATACTTTATGCTTACATTAACATTATCTGTACATATAAATCAATCGTTTCTTCTTTGTTGTAGCATGTTCGAACAAGTAGTTGCATATCTTTATCTTCTTCTTATTATTATTTTTAGGATGATGCATACGGTCAAGATTTGTATATGTTAAATAGATGTTTAGATGATATTGAATGGTTTGAAAAGAATTTTAGAAAAAGTTTTAGATCTTCACCAGACGAACTTGACAATAAACATAGTGAGTTTTCTTACAATAAAATTATTGATGAAATAGAATCTTTTCAACAACAACATTTTCATTTTAAATAGGCAAGTGTATAAAAATTTCAATAAACATTTATAATAGTTATCTTCATTGTAGAAACTGCTTTAGATGAATCCATGTAAACTCTTTATTGAATTGTATTGTGTGAGCAGTTTGATTGTCAAAGCTTATTTTGTAACCTTGTTATACTATTCGACCAAAAGACATAATCTATGAAGACTGACAAGTAATTAAGGTTTAATGTCTAACCTATGTTCTATGTTCATTCAAAAGCCTTGACCAGTGGAACTAATCCATATCAGGTAGAGACAGGTACCTATCTCAGAGCAATAAAAGATGATTGCGCAATTTCATTGATTAGTTGCAGTTAGACATTAACACTATTGGATACTGGCCCAGTAGCCTAGAAGTTAAGCGTTTGCGCCCGATAACAAAGGTCCTAGATTCGAATTACGTGCACTGCTCTGTTTTCTCTATTCGACATTGATTGTTGGAGCCAAAATTAATTGTTTCTTTTTAAAAAAAAGAAAAAAGAAAAAGAAAATAGATTTACGCAAACATTGTAATAATCCAATGATCGCTTACATTTAGTCATGAAACGTCAAAAAATCTAATTTTTCTACTCAATGGATTGAAGATAGTTAGAATCATTAATTGAAAGGTTTGAAAGAAGATAGATAACACCACTATGGTTCTAAATTTTCTATTGTTAGCCAATTATTGCTGAAAGAAAAAAGAAACTATAATCCATAAGTACCTTATAGTAATAACAATGATATATTCTCTAAGTGACTAATTTCTAGAGGTAATTCTTGGAGTTCTTGTCAGAAGTCGTTATTGGTTGAGCTCAGTCATATGAAGTGTGAAATAGTTAGCCACCAGAAGCATTGAAAGATGGTTGCACAATCCTAAGTGTTGAGTGGATTCAGATATGTGAATCAGTGAATTTCAGTGCAATGATTTAATGATTTAACACTCACCCCAAGACCTGAAGTTCCTGAGTTCGATATGGAGTGGGGTCATGAATGAATGAGTTTTAAAATAGATGCCCAGTATTTCCTGGTTTCGCTATTTGTTTCACTAGGATTAGTCCGTGATGTAAACTATATAAAATTCTCATCATTATCACTGAGAAAACAGTCAATTTATCGTTTAGGATAAGTATTTACACACTAAGAGGTTTGTTGTTTACCAAGATTTTAAGAAGCTTAAGGATACAGAGCATGGATTTCTGAAATAGTGGTTCCCTATGAAGTTATTAAATAAGATACTCAAATCACTCATAATTAATGCAAAAGATTTCAAGAATATTTTATGCCTACTTGGAGTTCTGTATTTCTATAAAACGAATGCTATGAACTTCTAATTAAATTTTAGAGATAGTGACAGCGAACTTTAAATTTGACTTACCTATACTAAGCAAATAAAAGTAGACTGCATTGCACTTCAATAGATTATTTATAATGCATCCTTTAACAACAATACCTGTAAAGACATCTAGGGTATTATAGTTGTTTATTTCAAGAGAAATTTTAATAATGATTATCTTTCAAATTGAAAGAAACAAACAAATAGGGCTATACAGCTGTTGTACTACCCAAAACTCTATATTATGTATACATACATCTAAAACATCCAGCACCTATACAATCGCTTTTACCGTATATAAAAGTAACAATATACGAATGATTCAACTAATTAGGTTTTTCTAGGTAATTCATTTTTTGGCATCGGTGTCACCATTGAGCGCGTAGAAAATATTAATCGCAGTTCTCCGGCGTTAAAGGATTTTTGTATTGTCCTACGCAATCTCTGAGTTCATATTTCTTTAGCCACATCCCCTCTGAATTGTAGACGCATGAACAGGGATTTCTCCTTCACCGTTTGCATTCCACTTGTTTTCACCTTCGTGTTCATATATTTATTTATAAACTTCCAAGGGTAACCGTTCTCCCCGAGAGTATTATGCAACATGTTAAGTTCGTCTTCAGCTATATCAGCAGAACATATAGTGCGTATTTGGTAACTAAGGGTTTTGATCAAGTTTCGTTTGTACTGTAGAGGTACAAAGCTAAGGAAATGAGTATACTGCCCAGTCCACATACTTTTTCTGTTTAAGTCCCTTTTTACCGATCCATCCGCTCTCTTAGTTAAGAGAACGTCCGAAAAGGCTATTCGACCATCACTCTCTTCTTCAGATGTAAACTGAATGGCTGGATGTACTTCATTGAATCGTCTAAGAACCTCTTGCTGTGACGTATTATCTTTACAGAGGATGAACATGTCATCCATATATCTACATTAAAATGTGAAGTTTTGAATAATTTTTTAATGGATCATTTTCTAGTTTGGCCAGAAAAATATCAGCTAGTATAGGGCCCAGTGGTGAACCCATTGCAACACCATCTGTTTGTCTACATATTTCACTATTGGACTTGAAATTCACATTCATGGTGCATTTAAGTAATAACTCTTTCACGACATTAATAGGAACAGTAGCTTCAATATCATTTTCAATCAGTTCACCTGTGTATTCCACAGTTTCTATGAGTGGGACGTTTGTGAATAACGACGTTACATCCAGTGACATCATCTTTAATCCCACCGTATTTGCATTTTTGATTTTGTCAACAAATTGGAAAACATCCTTAACACTATGTTTTACAAGCTTTTCATGGAGAGGTTTCAATAAAGCTGACAACCATTTAGCTATAGTATGGTAAGGAGAGTCGTACATATCTAGAATAGGTCTTGATGGGATCCCCGGTTTGTGTACCATTGGCGATCCATATAATCTCTGCTCCTGTGGAGCGAGTTATATTAAACAAATTTCTAAGAATTTACGTTTCCTTGCTCGTGAACACCTCCTAGCTTGGCTAAACAAAAGTTTAATTGGATTTTATTGCAAAGACTTTATACTCCGTCGCATTTAAATTCATGCTGTTTTGTCTTGAGCTAATTAAAAATTATGAACGTAATTTTGCAAAATTTTCTATTAACTTTCTTCATTAAATAATTCATCATTTTTTTGGTTGAGATCATGAACCGATTTATGTTAGACTACCATTGGAAACCTGGAGGCATTGAACGGCGGTTTCGTCCAATTGTGAAGCTTCTCAACACTGTACATCCACGATTCCAGAGGTCTAGAAGTCAGGCGTTTGCTCACGAGATTGAAGGCCCTGACTTGGAATTCCCTGAGCGGGATTGTGGATGCACACTGCTGATGAGTCCCACAATACGACGAAACGGCCATCTAGTGCTTCCAGGTTTTCAATGGTGGTCTAACATCAATCGGATCATGTTCTCAATCAAAAAAAGTATTAATCTCCACAACCTCATACTGATAATTCATCATTTCGTTGATTTTTTTTATAGCTATAAATGTAAAACAAAATAATGATGAACCGCCAGATTCTACTGTAGCGATCGATTCTTTACAAAAAGTTAAATATGCATTAAATATTATTGAAAAGATTCGTAAATCAGTACCATATATATCAAAAGAAATTTTTGTTTATTTAATAAGAATTGTTCGTAAAGTTCATACAGTTGCAAAATCAAAACAAATTACTAATTACAATTCTAATATTGTAGTTGATGTAATTGAACCGTTATTGAATGAAAATACTATTACGTCAATATTTAAATTATTATCAGTTAAAACAAAAGAATTATGGTTAGATCTTGGACCTGCATGGAATACACCAAGGTAGATAATTTACAAATATACTACTTATATAATTGTTATCAATTCTCTTATGAAATGATTAAACTAAACAATTACCTAGTGATATTTGACTTTCAATGTTTATTTAATTGATTTGTTACATATCATCGAAATTAACGTTAATCGTGTATATCAGTTCTAGTGAGCTATCTGGTTTCTCTAGTATCTTGAAGGAACAAATAACGTATGAACCAATTATTAGTCATCGTCTACCATGGGACTGCATCTCCTCACGTTGTACCACTCTCTTGTGGGTCAGACCTTAAGGTCATATACTCCGACTGTGGTCCATAAGAAAACCACCTGCTTCGGTTTGAGCACCCGAGCAGTATCATAAACCACACAGAAATCAAATGATTTGTGTGGCGCATATGAATTCGGTGCCCCTTCGTACCAATATTTATATACTGAAATAAATAACTAATAAAAATGACTTAAATATTATCCTTTCTTTTAGTCCAATGGTTGGTAGCATTTCACTTACTGAAACATATTCAGTAATACATTTTCTGTATGATTTAATGAACAAATATATGTGAATCGATGGAAATAGAGCATACTTCCTTTTTCTAATAACACAATACAGATTTTATGATGGATTAATATAATTTAGAGAATCAATGGAAATGTGAAAGTATTGTAGTGAATGAGAACACAAGTGGGGACAATGGAATATACTTCAACAGAAAATTACAGTATGTGTTAGTAAAATCTGAGAACGACAGAGTGAATATTTCATTTGCGAAATGTCAATCAATCGTCTGAGAATTGGTTGTTTCTTCATTTTTACATCAATCATTGTCTGCTCTCGTTGTGTTTTCTTTGATATTGATAAGTTTCTGCCACCAGACATCTGACTTTCGATTGATGATATATACTACTTATATCTATTGACATCAGTAGCACACATCACACTATGTCTGTGACGCAAACTAAATTTAGGATGCACGACATCTCCACAAAATTATTCTAAGTAAATAATAATCACAGATTTTCGAAGTTCAAATTAAAAGATCCGGCGTATAAAACCTTCAGCTATATATCAAGTAGGGAAGTAGATAACAAATGGTTTACAGAAAATATTACTTACTTACTTACTTGCGCCTGTTTCTCCTCGTGAAGGAGCATAGGTCGCTCACAGCATTCTCCATCCAACCCTGTTCTGGGCAGTCCTTTCCAGCCTGTAGCTCTTTTAGAATTACTGCCAGTTCTGAGCCTGGGTAAAGGAGGAGGGTTAGGAATGAGGCTAGCGATCCCATCCCGTAGAAAACTAACTCGCTAAAAAAAATGCTAACCAGAAAAGTAACTCGAACCATTTTTAAAATATGAACAGATGATTTTAAGCTGTGTGACTCAATGACCCCGTTATAACCTTTGAAAGTCCTGAATTCAAATTTGTGTGAGGTTGTGTGTTATTAGGCAGTCTCAATAAAGAATGAGAAAGATATCCAATACCCCTTGATTTTCGGTGGCTATCTAGCTGTTATTAATTCGGATATTTTCAAATGTATTAAAGTATTTGAGAAATATTTCTGAATCTATGGTCAGCTACTGGATTATAACATTTTTTGATAGCGAAATTTTTGCCAACATAATTCTCTATTTGATCAACAATAAATGATGGACAGAATATGGTTTGTTTTTAAATAATATTAAACTTCACTTCCGAAATCCCCTGATAATATTTCGTATGAATAGAGACACAGTAATTAAGCTAAGTGGTTTAATTATGAATTTTATACTGTCATCCTGAACTACAACATCAGAACCGATCTCAAATTCTCATGGAGCTAATAACCTTAAGTCAATACGTCCGTTGAATTTAGCTCATATATATTATTAAATTATGTCACCTCCATTTCATTCGTTATGTAATATTAAAAATGATATGAGGAATAGTCGCGAATAGCTTTTCCTTACTTAATCACTCTGAGTGGACAACTTAGACAGTGGTTTTTACAGTGAACTGACTTCATTTGAGGAACTAATGTAAACCAAGTGGTAAAGAATATCTGTTTTGTCCTTGTTCAGGAATTATCAAAACGTTTTTCCAATGATCACTACATAAAACTGTTATAAATTTCTTCAGGTATTATGCTGAACAAAATACGTTCATACTATTATGTTAGAAACCAACTGTCTACATCTTTGACTACAGTCAATGTATAATACGGTTTTGTCTTCATCTGATTTCATTGAGAAATTATTGTCTCATTGTCGATTAGATCAATTCTAAAGTACACCATAAGTTTCAATAATTGTTTGGTGGAAATTACTTTTACACTTTACAAAATCTCCATGACAAATGATATTACTTGATTAAGATATAAAATGGTCATAATAAAAGTACATTCATCATTCCTACAGATTTTTTTTACCATAAATAGTAAAATCTATTACAACAAAACCAATCAATTTATCTATTCACAATTCATTCACAATCTTTTCCAAGAATTTTATTATTATAACTTTCATTCACTTATTTTTTTCTTCTTTGTTTAAGCTCAAAGTGGCCCAATCCACTGAATATTTATATGCCAATATTTTATCATCCATTGAAAAAAAGATCTAGACATAGATCAAATGAAGTGATTAGTCGAAATCCAGTAGTAGGTATCTGTTGATTATACTATTTTTTTGTTTTGTTTTACTATGTTAATATAAATTAGAACAAATGTTACCTTATATTAATACGAATATATAAATGTGTCTAATTTTAATAGGTTAGTAATAATTCGGATAACTTTGATTCAAGAAAAATGATACAAGTTTTTAGTAATAAGTACCTTCTAACTTAATCTGACTGATTATTACTTAGTCCTCATCAGCCATCGAATAAAACTTGTACCATGTGACTTGTTGGAATGAAATGATGATAATACCCTGTATTTGAACTAGATAAGTAGAGAGTTTTGCGTTGTCAAGGGTTCTAGTGATCATAGATTCTACCGAGTGTGTGGCTGTAAATGCGTTTTGTTACGAAGTTATAAAGTAGAATAATAAAACGATCTAGCATTCATGATTCCACCAGATAATTGACACTTATACTGATAAGTAGGCAGGTAAATGTTTATTTTGTTTCATATATTTTCCTCATTATTTTAATCTATAAAAAGCATTTCTAACTGTTTAATATAATTAAAATTAAATGACTTGGTGCTTAGATTTATTTAATATTTCACTTAATAGTGAAAACTATTCTTAATCAGTTAAAGAAAAACTAAATTTTATGTGTCACCATAGAACCAAGCTTTTTGTTAGTCATTCGAAGATACTGTATAGTAATAATTGAGTTATACTCACTATGTTGATGAACTCTAGAATTACCAAATTCTTAAGAAGCCTTTGGAAATCCATCATGAAGCTAGTCACTGACAATGAAACTTCAATTATTTATGTTAGCTTAGCTGAAGATAGACTAAAGTTGGAAATATGGAGCGTCAAATATGTTGAGGACGTTAGATCCTCAGGACTCACTTGGAAAAGATTCTTATTTTGTAATTTTATTTTGAAAATTTGAATTTTATGTTTTCGTGCCAAGAGACGCTTAGTTGACCTACAGCTTACATTTCCCACTCGGAAATCCTTGGCTGTCATCGGTTGACGGATTTTTTTCGTACACTATTTTTCGGCTGTCACAAGGGCGTTTCTATCATTGTATTAATAAGTGACCTCGTATTTTCTGGGTGCTTGTAGAATACCTTCTCTACGCCTCATCAAGATTTCTTGATCTAGTTAGCAGGGCCGTGGACAACGTATTAGAATAGCCTATCGTGTCACTGTGTCTTTGACCTTCGTTCCGTTTACCAAGTAAGGTGAACTCGTAATAGCATTCAAGCATATCTAAATAAAAGGTCAATGTTCTTAAGTTATTGAACTTACATTAAGACATGAGGTTTTTGATTCCAATATTTGTGGAATCGTTGGTGATTATTTCTGAAGAGTCGTGAACTAATATGAAATATCTATCTATTACTTCCTAGTTGATCGATGGTTTTACAAATGGGGTCAGTACATAACATATACGATCTTTTAATATGGCTAATTATCAAAGACTATCGTAAAAAAAACTGTAAATATACTTTCATTTGATTGACTCAGGCTTCTGTATATTGTCAAAATGTATAAAGCATATTAAATATTAAATAAATGAAGGGTTTAAAAAGCTTGTTTACAAAATACTGAACTAATATATTACACCATTCAACCATTCACTACAAATCTAATTCGTTATTACAATATGTTTATATGCAATACATATTGTGTGAACTTATAACAAATTTCATATATCATTGTCTAGATTTTAGGTTGAGTATAATTGTAGATCATTAAATCACACTACATCATGTTCTTCTTGAATGCATTCATATACAATTATAATTGAAGTCCAGTTAAGAATACTAATGGTCATACTTATCATTTCGGTTAACTAAGAAAGACTCCCATTTCTATATGTACACACGTCTTGGTTACGGAAATCAAATAGGAATGTGTAAACAATAGGAATTCACTTACAATAACTAGATTGAAGTAGTACTTAAGAAATTGTGAATTAAATCTTTCATTATCTAATAGTTCATTATAAATCTGTATTAATTATCAGTTTATGAAAGTAGCTAAAATCACTGATATACAGTAAGAAAAAAATGCAAAACTTGTAAAACAAATAGGCAACATTAATGATCCTTTTCAATTCCCAAGTTTAATTTAAGTTATTCTTTTTATTTCCTCACTTTTTAGTCATAACTACTATAATGAGAGTTAGTGACAGAGAGGGGGTAACGGATAGAAAAATCGATTCTTCTAACATTTCAAGATCTTGCATAGATCAATCAATCTATAGTAGATAAATAACTTTTTCGAGTTAAAACAAGTTTTATCATCATAAAAGTTGGATAAATTAAATTATATATCCAAACATGTCTAGACATGTAATTATTGTTTACTTAAAATTGATGAATATCTTGTGTATGCATGTTACCGTGAAATAAATATATGAATGACAGTGTAATAAGATAATACAATTTTCATATATGTTTACAACATGATTATTAATAGGGGACATAAGACATCTTTGATTGATTAGTTATGATTGTTTGGCAACGGTAAGATTTCTCTATAGAAGTACTTTTTTTTAATATTTTCAAAACTTGTAGAATTTGGAACCACTGTAACGAGAGTACTAAGAATTTATTATGTATAGCCTAAATGTATTTTAACTCGAAACAAGATATCCTTTGCTCTTCAAATATAAAAGTACATTATCATTAACATTATAATCTAATGTGTTATGCTGAAATGAAAAGAATTTTATCTTTCATTCTAATTAAAACCTTCTAAAGCGTAAGCGATGTCACTGTAGGTGACTCTAATTCTGTGTTGTTTAAGAATTCGTCGTAGTTCTATTGTAATGGTTTAATGATGAAGTAAAATAACACCAACTATTCATGAGTGTTCTTTCAGGTTTTTTTTTTCAGTTGAAGATATACTTTTGTATTTCAAAACGTTTTGAATAATATTTATTCAAACATTAATAAATACCACGATACTTGTTTGATTCAATTCATTGTGTTGAAACCTGATCCTAAAGTTTAGTACTTCATTTGTAGAAAAAATATTATTTTGGGATAATATTCAGTAATTTGGTAGAGTTGGTTGGTAACTTACAGTAAAATATAGACGTGCATTTCATCTTCTGGATTTACTTGTATTCCAGTGTTAATGCTCACATTAAGACTCTAACCCAGTACCTTTAGTTTAAAATACCCAAAGCGTCAACCATTAAGCTAGTGATATTTTATAACTACTAGCTTGTGTAGAAGGCATTGATATTATTTAAATAAATTAGTATTTGCTGGTTGTTGATGTTAAGGGCTACAGCTAGTTACTAATTTTCGGCGTATTTTCATTATGAAATGGTAAATTCAGCTGAAAAGTCCCAAACCAAATGAAGACAAGTCCCGGAATCTGTTGCTTGTACTACTAGCAATACAGAGGTAATCAGCTTAAGATGACTATATACTAAAAGAGGTTGATCAATTGCAATTATTAATATCAACGACGAGAATAAAACAAACCAATATAAATATTTAATATTGTTTATTATGTGAAACACTTTTGCTGTTAAACACTTCTTTTTATCAGTGAATTCACATGCTTACATAACTAGCCATCTTAATCATTTTTACAATCTACGTGCTCTATATGTGCTTGCAAAACCATAAAGATACATATTCAGTAATTACTGAAATTAGAGTAGCTTACTTAAACAAGATACTAAAACATTATGAGTTTGATCGAAAGAAAATGAGACTATTTTTATTGAAAAACAACGTGTAATAAAATATTTGTCTTTTATTCTTTTTATAGAGATTAATAGATTCTCTCAGTGTTATATTGATTTTTTCAATTAGAATCAACCATATAGTCGTGACTAAGCAATATATATATATCAGTTTTCTCCTTAGCAATTCTGGAATTTCAGTGAAATCACTAGCCAGTCTAAGTTAGATAATCATTAAAGATCTGATCTGGAACTATCAGAAATTAGATAGACTGATAAATGATGTTTGTTGAAATTTGTGTACCATGAAATAATGTTATTGGAAATGTTACATTACGACGTGTGCGATTATATATCATTGAAGTCCTACTCATTACCTTCTCGTGGTGGGGTTTTGTATATGAAATTGAGAGGACGAAAAACTAATGTTCGGCGCTTTAATCGGGTTGATGGGTATGAAGGATCCACCTAGGGGAAATAGAAAACCCTGATTCAAAACCAATGGGGCAGATACGCTCCAGTATCTTGAAGGAACAAATAGCGCATGAACCAGTTATTGGTCACCGGCTACCAGAGACCTGCATCTCCTGATGTTGCTCTCCTTGTGGATCAGACCTTCAGGTCGAAGGCTCAAGGTATAGCCCCCTATGAGAACCACCTGCTTTGGTTTGGGCACCCGGGCAGTATCACAGACCACATACAAATCAAGTGACTTGTGTGGTGCATATGTATTTGCTGCCCCTTTGTACTGATATTTATGTATTCAAATAAATAAATAAAACTGATAAACAAAATGAAACCTTACCGTGTAAGACAGCTTTTGCCACGAAGCGATGTTAGCAAAAGCTTTTGAAAACCAGAGAGCACTGAACAAGTTTATTTTCCTAGTTTGGGGCTATCTAAGGACGCACACCGACGGCTTCATGCTGGATTAAATTCAAGAATCATAAATCTTGCTGAGAGTTAAATGCCATTTAATTAACGACTTTGTATCTTTAAGTTCAGTTGAAGTGTAATATGAAAATTTGACCATTTACTTTTCTCAATGAGTTATTATTCTTACAGTGAATTCATAAAACACAGTAGTTAGAAAAAGACGTTTTAGAAACTTAAAATAAGCTACTACTAAGCACTTGTTTATTATTTACTAAAGCAACTGTATGTAATCAACCAAGTTGTTAGTGAAACAGTTATATTTAACAACGTTTTATTAGAGTTAAAACTATAAACTTACGAATATTAACTTATTATCTCTGCAGTATAGTGTTACCTATGAGATGTGAATGTTCCAGTTTCTATCCTGTTCAAGGTTATCAGTCGTCAGTACTGAAAAGTCTCAATCTAAGATCCAGAATGTTGTACAATGCACTCTAATTTAAACTGTTTCTTCAAATGACAATGGTTTATTGTGTAGATTTTATTTCAATTGCACAAACCCATCATGGTGAAATTATTTTATTTTATTTATTTTACAAAGTTTCATCATTCATTATTTTTATTCTAACTATAAACAATTAAAACTAGTATTATTTTCTTCATGTGCATATTTCAGTTTAATTCACGAATAGTTCTGAAAGGAGCATCAGAAATCAATGATGAATATGAACCACGTTTTCATGGTATGTTCTGGTTTGTTCTCCTATTTGTTTTTCTTCTTTTCAGAGGCAGGATTTAAAGTTATTTTGTATTTTTTTTTCTAAAAAATACCAACTTATAATAAGGAGTGAACGAATAAGGTGATTGATTCCTGAGGTGGTGGAGAAGACTTTAGCTCAGGTCGATGATTTCTCAGCGGAGTTTTGTTCTCTGAGCTAGATGGTTTGGTTAGTAATTGATTCTTTTTTTCGAAATTATTTTAATATGATACAATAATAAGATGGTAGAGATTTGTAGCTCAGGTGGATAAGTTGGATGGAACAAAACTACATAAAAAAAAACAATACAATAATGTTATCATTTTCATAGAAACCAATTCCTTGATTAAAATTAAACAAAGTAGGAAGAAAAAAGACTGCTTCCGAGAATAAAATGAATTCATTCCATTTTATGAATTTACTTCGTTTACAAAACAACCTAAATTATAAGAAGTAATACAAATACAAATAGAAGTATAACATGCTTTAGTAAAATGAAGGAAAGGAAACATCGGAGCATAGAATATAGGATTAAACAAAGTTAAAATCGATGCATGTTTAAATTTTAAAAATAAAAAAAGAAGAGTAAAACGATTGCATAATAACAATGAAAATAATAATTGACTGTATCATTTCATTGAAATCATTTTTATTATTTATTTTAACACATAGATATTGGTACAAGAAAGCACCAAATACATATGCGCCACACAGGTCTCATTTGATATGTGTGAGGGATGTGATACTGCCTGGGCTTCCAAACCGAAGCAGATGGTACTCTTAGGGGGCCACACCCGGAGCCTTCGACCTGAAGGTCTGATCCACAAGGCAGTGGAGCAACGTCAGGCGATGGAGTCCCATGGTAGCCGGTGACCAATAACTGGTTCGTACGACACTTGTTCCCTCAGGGTACTGGAGCCCATGTGCACCATTGTTTTGGAATGAGGGTTTTCCAACTCCCCTAGGTGGACCCTTTGCGTCCATCAACCCGGTTAAGCGTCGGACATTCGCTTTTCGTCTTCTGAATTTCGTAAACAACAGTAATGCCACGAGAAGATAGTGAGTAGGACTTCCCTGGCAGAGACTATATACGCGTGGCCATGTTAGAGCGAACTGTTCCCACTCTCGGGCGTAGCAGGGCATTTGGGGGCATTGAACAATCATGGATGACCTGGAAGTACGAGTTAAGTACTTTGTTTTAATATATATATCTCGAAAATGCACACCTAAAACAAATAATATCGGTGTCCACAATCCGTATACTGATAATAATCATGTGCTTACTAACGACTATCTTTAAAACGGACAGTTCTGGAGTTCTATTGAGAGGTTATGACCAGTAAAATTGAATTATGTCTGCTGTAAAGAAATTATTCACCACAGGCAATAGTAGATGATCGTAAAATACCACAAATTGACTGAAGTTAGACTTGTACTTTCGGCTAAGTGATCTCGTGATTAGGCGTTCATTCGCCAGACCGAGTGCTCTGATTTCAACTTCCGGTGGTAGGGGTGATAGATAAGAACTACTGAAAAATTTTATACTAATTACATATATATAATCACATAACTCCTTATCTTCTTAGACTTCTTCTTAGCTGATAAAAACCTGTAGAACAAAAGAACTCACTTTATTCTATAAATCTTATTGTTTCTGATCTTTTCATCAGTCAGTCAGCTACAACGTAGGATTATTATTTTAAATAACTGAAAATGGTTAAGTTTATAAAATGTATTAAACGAGAAGTTCAAATATAATTTATAATTATCATTCAAAATACATTCATAATCGAATGAATTAACTGTTGTACTGTTGCTTAACTGTACTTTAATCATGAATATTCATACATAAACTTTATAGAGGATATTCTTTTACTTATTCAAACACAAAATACAAACTTTATTAAAACTATCAAATCAATTATATTCTCTTTACATGGATAAACAACTAAACAGTCAATTAAAATTTATTCATTTATCTGTTACAACTTAAGAATAGAATTAAGAATTAAAAGCAACATTAATACGGATTAAATGGAATTTATTTATTCGTTGTATACTATTACAAGTTGCTTATGTTATATGATTTGGTTGAAATATAGAACTTAATTACAAGTTCGAACTAATATTTCCATATCTTTCACCTTTATTATTTGTAATCATTTGTAACTATAAAAATATGATAAAATTTGATGATTAATGATTCCCTTAAACTTTTCACCATGTTCATGATAATAATGATACTCAATCAGTAAGAATCGTCATTTTCATCACTTCAATGTCTAGAAATTTCATGGAATTGTTAAGCATGATAGACAGAAGATAATTTTCAAAGTTTTTCATAAAATTCTATAACTCTTGAGTTTTAAATTCACTTGGTATTATTTGTCTTGTATCTTCCCATTGAGGTTTAAGACTGCAATTGATCAGTCTGCCATCGGCATATGTACATACTGTGCGTATGCCTCGATATTGCCTTAATTCACAAGCTTTTTGTAAGCAATGATGGATAGTGGTTAGCAGTGGAATCCAGGATGCGCGTTTCGTCCTATTTTGGACTCGTCAGCTGGATGTATCTGCATCTCAGAGTTGATGTTCACTCTGGGACTCGAACCCAGTACCATTCGCTTCGTTTTAATTTACAAACAGATAAAAGAACCTACTTCATATTTCATATAAATCAGATCATATTTCTTATGTTAATTCAGTTTTGAAACACAAAGAGTACTTTCATTTCTAACCTGATTGTCAGCTATTGAAATTTATTCATTATGTTTCATATCAGCTATTACCCTATGAAAATTAATTTGTATAGGTGATTAGTTTCATTCGGTTACTGACTGTTGTGACTTGAAGCCCGGATTTTATCACGTGATTTATTCGTCAATCGAAATACAACTTATTCAATATTAGTACTGTGCTAAATCAATGATGTTCGACCAATGTGAACAGCCTAGGGTCTTTATTGGTCCTCTGTTCACCTATCCCGTCTACTCTAGTTCAGAAAACCAATAACAGTTTTTATTATGCGAATCATTTACTTCAAACATACTGGGTTTATTTACAAATCAAACAGACCACATCACACCATAAAATAGGAAATAACATTTGTACAAGATCAAACCAAAATGTGGTTGTGAACGTGGGGGACGGTAATTAATAAACTGAACAGAACTTAAGAACAATAAATTGTATTCTAATAATCTATGGGTCAAAATGAAGCTTATAATAAGAGGAATATAGATATACGTAATCTAGTTACTGAACAGTTATACAATAGAAATATATACATAATATTAGTCCATTAGTAGCTCTCAGAAGTTACCTGTAACTTAATCTCTACTAGGATATAACACTGACCTTAAATGCTAGATATTTAAAACACCATGCTCTTTACATTATGCAAGTATATATATAATATACCCTTGTGGGCCAGGGCAATTTGACATTGGTTTCCAGGAGAACCAGACACCATCCAGACAACCCAAACAGTACAGCTCAATGCCGTTTAACAGGAGAGCCAGACACCATAAAGGCTTTAACGCTACAATCTGAATAGTGCAGATCAATCCTGTGGAACAACCATACAGGTACCGAGTACCCTGGTAGACCATTCGCACCATTCATATACGCATTCACGTCATATCTATAGTTATTCCGATCAATGATCGCGTGATTCAATCATGCACAGCACGAACAGGCCAAAGTTGACCCAGTCCGCTTACATGACAGTCAAACTCATTATTGTTAGTAATGGCGACATGCTTTACGATGTCCCAATGACAATGGTCCTTGAGAACATTGAAAAGCAACCACCAGTATGAATGAAATCGGTTAACCGGCAAACCAGTTTTGTGCATGAACAGTTAGCAAAACTTGCCAAAGCCATGCTGAACCATCCACAATACCAATGGCGAACCTCCGGTCTCATATGAGACCTTCAGCTCTACACATGTTTTTATTAAATAATTGAACGCACATTGAAGAAATGTTATAGCCCATAAAAAAATCTTTGATAGGTAGTTGAAATTGATCGAATGTTGACAATTGACAGTTGAAGGTTTAGTATAGAAGATGTATCTTTGGCTTGTGGTTATTCATAGAAACAAATTTTAAATAGTCAGCATCATTTTTTTTCAAGATTTCAAACATTAATCTTTAATAATCAATTATTTTTTTTTAAAATATTTTAATACATCAAGAGTATCATTTACACTTACATATAATAGATGTTGTACATTTTATTCACATACAAATTGTAATATTCAATTGTTCAAGGTTAAATAAACAAATGATTTTTTTAATTTTTACATCCATCAAATTACTTTCTATCTCATTTTCACAAAGACTTTAATCGTGGGAAGATTGAAACTAAGTAATTTATGTTCTCAGTGCTAAAGTATTTAATCAAACAACATAATTACTATAATTTAGGTTGTCATCATCATCATCATCATCATCATCATCAGCAGCAGCAGCAGCAGCAGCACCATTATCAAACGGAATAGCTTTTATATCATGTAACTATCATTACAGCATTATTACAAATATAATCTTATAAGAATGGTACTTTAAATTGACAAAAATGAATTATTCTTATGTGTGAATCAATTGAACTTTTGTTTGATTCTATTTAATTCGTTGGATTATTTTTTTACAGTTTATCTTACAATTTAATAAATAAAAAAAGTGAAAACTGTAAGGTCTATAAGGTCTGTAAGGACTATAATTTATGGATGAAGCAATCGGGTATAAAACGATAAATCTTAGATTTTGGCGCGAAATTCATTCACCCATTTGGCTAAACAGAGTTTTGGCATTATAGCTGATATCAGTTCGTGATGGAAATCCTAAATTTAATTCTTAACCTTAATCATCAACTGTAAATCATAATTCGAATTCCTCACACTGGTTTATAACCATCATTTGGTCCTAGTTATTAAGTGAACACACTCAAGGTCACTTTAGCGTCACTCAAAAATCTTTCATAAATTATAGTCTCACCAAACAGCCTACTTCATAGTGTTTACTTATCAAAATAACACGACTGTCTGTTTAGTGTTATGTTAAAAACTCGTTTTCTGATAATATATTGTTATGACCGGTCAGGTAAAACGAGCAGCTTATCTGAAGACATTTATCGGAAAGTTTTTAACAACTTATAATAGTGAAGTTAATTTAGATCTGAATGTTTTTATAATTTCTATTTTTTGCTAATCTTATTAGTATATTATGTTATGTAATTGAAGGCAATCTAAACAAATTTCCTACATATGAGCTTCCTGACGATTGGTTTATGGCACCATTATGTTTCAATTCAAATATTTATGCTTGATGAGTAGAAAATTAGATTTTCTGACGTTTCGTGACTTAGTGTAAGTCACTTCTTCAGAGAAGTGATATGAAAAATATATTATTTATTGATAACAATTTATGCTTGAGTTACATAGTACTGAAATTACAGGTGGTGCCGCTGACCTATTTGAATATGATGAATCACTTGTGTACTAATTATCAGTGATTCTTTTGTTGATTTTCCCTAACTCTCATCTATTTAAAGTATGAAGAATAAGCGCGTTATTTAGCATGTACTTAAGGAAACAGTAAAGCACATGTTAACTGAATAAAATTTTGAACTTCACTTAAAATGGATTAACTCAATTCAATAGTTAACTTGAATCTATTTAGTACTTAGTTTCAGATCCATGTTTTTTTTCCTAATTGAATATCTCATACTTATTGTTTAAGTTATTAATTGTATCGTAAAATGTCATAGAATACTTTAACATTTATCAGTGTAAATCACTTACATTTCATAGAATCAAATTTATTTATCCTTTCAAAAAGATGTTTGTTATTTTCATAACTTAGTTACTTAGATAGTGAGACAAACAAACAAAACTTTTTTTATGACGCTCCGTTAAGTTCAATAGGAAAACGTACTTGATGTCTATTTGAAAATAGACAAAACGAAATGATATTAACTTTGTATTAAAATACTTATTTACCATCGTTGATTTACCTTAGATGATAATAGTCGATGATTTTAAACCTGACCTATTCAGGTTTTCTTAATTTTATAGGGTACTAGTTTGTTATTTTTTTAAAAACGACTCATCCATTATGTGAACGATGTTATGAATGAACATGAGCAACAATTCATAGAAGTATTTCAACTTGAATTCATTCGTTTGTAAACATTTTTAATTTTAGAATTGAAATTAAAACATGATGATATTAATTATGCCATCTTCATATTACAAAAAACTATGATGAGTTCAGTGTTTCCAGGTTTTTCATGGTGATCTAGCTTCAATTGACTCATGATTTCAACTATTAAAAAAATTACTATAATATCCACAAAACTCCTTTTCTGAACTATATTTGTTGTAGTTTTAACCATCAAAAAATTCTAATAGTTGAGATCATGAGTCAATTGAAGCTAGACCACCATGAAAAACCTGGAAGCACTGGATGGCCGTTTCCTTCTACTGTGGGACTCTTCAGCAGTGTGCATCCCCGGTCCCACTTCGCGAAATTCGAACCTAAGATCTTTCAGTCTCGTGCGCGAGACTATAATATTCACAAAACCCTTTGTGATAAAAAAATTCTATTTGTGCATAATACTTAACCCGGAAGTCAAAATTAAACTACAATATTCATATAATGGCTATAAAACTGTTTATTTGATATCCCATTGTTTAAATAATATTTATAATCAAAATTGGATAAATCAGGTTTTTGGTACTTGATAGATTTCAGTGATGATCCTTACAGATATTCCCAGTATATTTTGCTCAATATCCTTTAACGCATCATAGTGTGTATTATTAGCTAATATTATCATTATTATTTTTATAAGGTGGTTTGCGTTATTTCCGCATTGATGATAAAGAATATTTGGCCTATCAACGATTTCGAAAAAGAACTAAACAACATGATGAATCGTAAGTGTTAGTAAATCACAGCGATAATAAGTTTTTTTCCCGCTGAAGTTTTGTAAACTAAATGCCTTTTTAAGCGGAGATGGATGGTGGCTAACAGTGGAATACAGGATGCACGTTTCATCCCTTTCGGGACTCGCCAGCTGGATGCACCTGTGTCTCAGAGTTGATGTCCACTCTGAGACTCAAACCCAATACTGTTCTCTTCGAAAGCCATCGCATTGTCCACTGAGCTACTGAGTGCTGATAGCGATTTGCTTGTGCAGTGGGACGAAGTTTATATATATATATATATATATATATATATATATATATATATATATATATATATATATATATATATATACTCTCACACTTTCTCCTTCTCCCGGGGATCGAATGGATTACAAAGACGTCAACACCTGGGTGAAAGCATAGGATACAGTGGAAAGCTAGAGTGAATCTGGACGATCTAGAATTCGTAGATGATCTGGCTATTCTATCACACACGCAACAACAAATGCAGGAGAAGACGACCAGTGTAGCAGTAGACTCAGTAGCAGTAGGTCTCAACATAAGCTAAAGGAAAAGCACAATTCTCCCATACAAAACAACAGGCAACAATCAAATCACACTTGACGGAAAAGCTTTGTACGATGTAAAATTTTTTACATATCTGATCAGCATCATTGATGAACACGGTGGATCTGATGCAGATGTGAAGGCGCAGATTGGCAAAGCAAGAGGAGCATATCTACGACTGTAGAACATCTGGAACTCAAAACAACTGTCAACTGCCAACACCAGAGTTAGAATTTTCAATACAAATGTTAAGACAGTTCTACTGTATGGGGCGGAGACTTGGAGAACTACGAAAGTAATCGTTGAGAAGATACAAGTGTTTATTAACAGTTGTCTACGCAAAATAACTCTGATCTGTTGACCAGCACTATCAGCAACAACCTACTATGGGAGAGAACAAACCAGATGCCGGCGGAGGAAGAAATCAGGAATAAATGTTGGAAGTGGATAGGACACACATTGATGTAAGCACTCGACTGCATCACAAAGCAAGCTCTCACTTGGAATCCTCAAGGCCAAATGAGGGGAGGAGGAAGACCATAGAACACATTATGCCGGGAAATGGAGACAGACATGAGAGGAATGAACATGAATTGTATAAAACTAGAAAGGGAGGCTTAGGACAGAGTGGATGGTGGCATGGTGGTCAGCGGGTTATGCTCCACTGGGAGTAACAGGTGTAAGTAAGTAATATATATCGTGTGTGCACACTGCTGAGGAATCCCAAAATAAGACAACACGACGGTCCAGTGCTTCCAGGTTTTCCATGATGGTCTATTTTCAATTGACTCATGATTTAAACTACTGAAAACTACTATAATATCCACTCAACCCCTTCTGACACTAAATTCTATTCAATTGTCATGTGGTTTTTTTCCCATGTTTTTTTTGTGTTTTATATTCTCACAGATAAAAAAGATGTTTTTCACATTTAAACTGTTAATTAGTTGTTTATTTGTTGTTTACAAAAAATAAGAATATTTTGTTTTTATCTGAGTTTTATCATGTTTGTTTATTTCCTTATTTATTAAAAGTCTAGGTAAATATATTACACGTGATCCACAATCAGTTCATAGTTATACTAATAATAATAATATAAATGGGAATCAAGATTATGTGATCAAGGTGAGTAGATGTTGTGGATACACCAAATTGTAGATACTGGGACCTTTTATAGATTATATACAGTTTAATAGGACTACTTAGAGAGTTGTTAATTTTTTTGTTACTGTAACCATTTCAGTTATTCAAGATGCTATTATATGTTTTTGCAAGGGTTGGGTTGGTGAAAATATTCCATCAGAGACTGATCAGTTGAGGTCCAGAAATCGACAACGGTGAATTAAAAACTATATTAATAACTTCAGACCTGTTGAACAATATGAGGACCATCTGAACACGTTAGTAGCTGAGTGAATAGCTAGTTGGCATTGAAAAAAGTAACGCACTGGGTTTGATTCTCGTTGTGACTATTAACATAGAGAACCAAGCATATTATTCTGATAAGTCCCAAATCAAATAAAACGAGTTTCCTGCCTTTTAAATCCAGCTACGTACATCATGATTTAACCACTCAGATGAAATCCGTATGGGGCTGACTCTATATGTCATGGCTCCACAGTTAAAAATCGTTTAACTAAATATCAGCTGACTTGTAATGCAGTATTGTCAAGCAATTTTCGGCTTTACTCTAAACAGTATTGTATTCGTTTATTTTTAGAACAACCGTAATTTAATTCTTTATAAACTGTTTTCAATAAAAAATTGACCACCCTGAACTTAATACGTATTGATTCCAGGATTACGTTTTGTATGACAGTTGAATAAACTAGTTGTTTAAATATATAAATTTAATGTTAGCGGTTGATTTCATCCTTTTCTATCATAAGATCTGTTGATTGGTTGTTTTATGATTTATGAATTATAATTCTTTAGTTATCAGAAGGGGTTTTGTGCAGATTTTAGAAATTTCACCGGTTGAAATCATGAGTCAATTGAAGCTAGACCATCATGGAAAACCTTGAAGCACTGAACGGCCGTTTCGTCCTAGTATGGTACTCCTCTGCAGTGTGCATCCACGGTCCCGCATCCCGCGAGATTCAAACCAACGACCTATCAGTCTCGCGTGCGCGCTTAACCATTAAACCGGTGAGTCGGCATCCAGCGGTGTTAATGTCTAACTTCAACCAATCCACGAAGTTGCGCCACCGTACACCATTATCTTCAGTGAGTTGATATCACACAACAGACGTGGTTGAACTCCACTGGTGACGGCTTCCCACTAGAACTTCAGGAGTATCTCTTGAAGGCCCTGGGCTCGGATCTCGCGGGGTGCGGGATCGTGGATGCACACTGCAGAGGAGTACCATACTAAGGCGAAACGGCCGTCCAGTGCCTCCAGGTTTTCCATGATGGCCTAACTTCAATTGACTCATGTTTTCAACCACTGAGATCCTTTAGTTACCTTTTCATGGAAATTCTTGTTCAACTTAATGAACATTATATTGTAATAAGATTAAAGATTGCTAATTTAACAACGATACGTTTGATAGAAAATATTAAATTATTACCTTGAATCATTTTTGATCTTTAAATTGAAAATATAATCTAAATTATGTTAAATAAATCGTAAGTTTTCTCTTAAAAATAAACTCTTTAGTTACATATAAAATGTAATATTCTTGTTTTCATTTTCTTTTTTCTTTTTGTTTTGAAGTTATCTGATCATCATAAAAAAAATTGGACTTTGAACGATTAGTGTAAACTGATCAACAATGTAAACATAATTTAAAAAATAATTTTTTTTTATAAATATGGTAAGATACCTAGCAACTATACCACTTTTTTTAAAAACGTAATATAATATTTCCCTTTTATTTGTTTAATTAATTCATTTTTAAAAAAATCAATAATTGTATAGCTTGTTGAACATACAGAAATCAAAATGAATTGAATTCAAATTATAATGAATGATATAAAGTGATCATTTAAAATTATAGGCAATAGACTTTTGTTTTACAGAATACCTTCAGAAAAAAACAAAACATTATCAATAATTTATTTAAATCTATTTTTCTATTTAACTTATTTATGGAATCTATATAAATTATATTGGCGAGAATATAATTTATGGATAAACCAATCAGATATAAGATAATGATTCACGAATTTTGGCACGAAATTCATTGATACATTTGACGAAATAAAGTTTTATCATGATAGCTGATATCAGTTCGTGATAAAAACTCTAAATCTAAGTTTTAACCCTAACTATCAACTATAAATGAAAATTCTAACTGGTTTATAACCATCATTTAATCTTAATCAGTAAGTGTCTACTCTCCAGGTCATTCCAATGTTACTCAAAGGTCATCCATAAATTATAGTCTCACCGATTATGTTATTACATAATGAGCAAATTACATATTTGTATTTATGATTATTATTTTTTTAACTAGTTCAATTCAAGTGGAAATCAGACAGATTAATTGATGACCTTCATTACAGATTGTATAAAATGTTTCTTTTTTAAGTCTGAATATATTATATCATTTTCTTAGTATTGTTACTAAGCTGTTTGATATAAATGATTTAATGAAAGAATGTTATTTACATTTTGTAATTCAGAATAACAGTGAAAGAATTACAGTTTGTTTTGTTAATAAATACTTCGAGATTCCATACAATATATAAGTAATACATTCACTTGAATGAAAACATTCACTTTTTGAAAGAACAATATCTTACATCTAAACAATTACATTTATTCTAAAACTAATATAATAAAATATATGACAAATGTATTTAGAATAAATCAAAGAACAAAAATACACTTAAAACTAGTTCCTCATATTTTTTAAGGAAGAAAAAAAGAACGATAGTTTCCATCAAGTTTCTATATCTTTCGAAATTTTATTGTTTACTTAAAGAAAAAAATTGATTGATTCATTGTATCTGTGCTTAAACAATATTGAAATCTTTATCTTTTTTTAATTTAAACAATCATTTGTTTACTTTTTTTTTTAAAAAAAAATAATAAAACTATTTACCATTTATAATCAGATTTTTAAAGAAAGATTCAATCTATATGATTATTGACAAATCGTTATTTGCTTATAATCGATATTTACATTGATATTTTCTTATTACTAAGTGAATGATTATGATTTTATTTATTTGTTTTTCTTTTATCAAAAACTATTGATTCGATGGTTTCTTTTCTGTTTTCTTCTAATTTTATTTTCTTTTATCTTTTATGTATTCTGTTGTTGGTTAAAATGATTCATTAACTTTGAATAGAACAACATAAATAACTAAATACATTAAAGTTTTTTTTTAATGAGTGAAATACATTTTCTTCACACTTCATTATCAGGTCATCATAAAGTAAAATGTTGGTTTCTATTGAAATGAAAATTATATATAAAAGATAATCTTTAATATGGTAACTTCATTTTTAATTTTTATCTATTCATTTATTAGTATTTTTTTTAAAGGAATATATCTGAGTTCAGATAAATCCATACACAATAGTTCATGTTAGTCAAATTATAATTTGTATATCACTGATTGATTGATTGATTGATTGATATATGATGGTGGTTAGAGGTACTCAACAAGAAACTCTAGACCTGAGTTTCGTGCTATTTGGCACTTGTCAGCAAGGTGTACCTGTAATCTTGTGGGAACTGTTGCTCCTTTACGGATTTAATTCCGTGTTACTCAGCTTCATAGTCAAAGATGTTACCACTGGTCTATCCGGGTCGTGACTGACCTCCTGTAGGACTGAGATGTATTTACGATTGATTGATCAATGGTTGGTGGTAATCAATGTCATGTGTGTCAGATCGTTCTTACTGCAGATCGAATGCTATCGCCTCTGACTGTGAAGCTGGGTTACAAAGGATTGAATCCGTCAGGGAGCACCAGCTTCCTCAAGACTACAGGTACACCTTGCTGACGAGTGCCAAATAACATGAAACCCGGGTCCAGGGTTTCTTGTTGACTATCTCCAACCACCAACTTATCTCAACATAGTGCACTCAATGTCAAGTAGCCTAGACTATCGATAGGATACGATCCACACTAAGAACGACCTGACACATGTGACATTGATCACCACTCAGTGATCAATCAATTGTGAATTGGTTGATTGAATAATGAAATCGAATTTCAATCGATTTGTAACAAGATGGAACTTCTACTCCATATTTTGAATTCTATACTTGGTTGTTATTATTACTATGTATCACATTAAAAGTGTAATTTAAAACCTAGTAAACTAAACTAAGTTACATTTTCTATCTTTGAAGTTAGGCAGCATAAAAAGGAGAACATTTCAACTTGTTTAAAAAAATTTTATGAGGATTAAAACAGCATATTTATTACTATACTTGACTTTTGGCATAGGTTCATATAAATTCTTTCACAGCGTAATATAGATAAAGTATAATAGTGTACCTTGGAGTTGTTGACTTAATTTTACCAACTGATATTTGGTTATTTTTGTGGTAATGAATAAACAGATATATTTGTTCGATTTGAAAAACTGTATACGAACCATTTTACAGCAGAGTGATGGTTATAAGTAGGTTGACTGCTACCATAGTTAGTTAGATATAGATGAGATGATTCTACATAATGTATTTAAGATATAATGGTCCACTGAATGATTGTCATAGATAAATTCCGAATTCACTTATTATAATTTACTGCCACTTAAGTCTAAACAGGACTTTATTCTAAACTAAGAATGTACTGTATTGTTTATGTTTTCATTTTAATGTGGATCGTTGAGAGTGCTTAACTGAACCTTACCAACTTTAGATTCATGCATACTAAATAAAGTAACGAAATATGTGAAACTTGTATTAACTGATAAAAGGTTTTTATATTATCAGTAGAGATGAACAGTGGCTGACAGTGGAATCTAGGACGCACTTCGGGACTCGTCACCTAAATATACCTGTATCCCAGAGTTAATGTTCACTCTGTGGCTCAAACCCGGCACCATTTGTTTCAAACGCTACTCATAGCTTTAAATGTGATTTAAAGTTATGAGGATCCAAGTAACTGTTATTTTTACTTGGCCTTGGAAAATTCTATATTTTTCTGGGATTTTCTTTGCAAAGACTAATATTTATGTATATTATACAGATTAGGCACACACATTTTTTATAGATATGATTAATATGGTACAAAACAGTCAGCAAAATGAATACTACCCTCATAAGGTTGTTGAGGATGTTGGGATGATAATCAACAAATTTTGCAAAAGAAAACCATTGACGGTAGGTCTTTGGTGTATTAGTAGCAACCATTTGCTTTCAAGTAGTTGTACGTTACATGAAAGGTATTTCCGTCTAAAGACATGATCGAATTATTACAAGCACCTACACAGGAATAGCTGTAGAGAGATAAAAATCTCGATTGACACGTCATAAGATTTATAAACTCTGTACGAGAAAAAAAGGCATATAGATTTAGACAAGGATGAAAATAAGATGAATATTCAGTGAAATCGGTGTGCACAATTTACCGACTGGTTACATAATTAAAAATTACACAGGAGTTACGAAAAACTTTAAGGTTGTTTGTCTTATGACATTTAAATATGACTGAGAACAATACAGGTATGGTATAAATTTTTTGTTGGGCAAGACAATATTACAGATGCAGTTTCTAGATAGAAACCATCAAGCGTAACAAGTAAATCAATTAATACAACGTGTTAGCAGCCTCTGAATGGAAGCCGTGAAGATGTTAAAAATGGAGGGAGAAAAAAGGCAATAATATTACTTATCGTTACATTGATATTGTTTAAATTTCGTTGGTTTGACTCTAGTAGTGGCCCTTTATTTAATTTTAATTAGATCATATGAATGATTGTTATCGATATATACATGCCGCCAATCATCGTACATAACTATCGCCTTAATTTGCGTTTGAGAATAACGGAAAAAAATAAGTCAAATAAGATAATGACTTTTGACCACGTATATTTCGTAATTTCGTTGACAATCTGGGAAGGAAAGCGAAGGGAGCAAAGAAAGACGAAACGACGCGCAGTGGAGAAGGCGAGTGAGCCAACTGGATTTATTGTCAGATCAAAAATAAGTTACAGACACATGATTTATAAGATAAGTAAGCAGCGCACATACGACCGTATAAAAACAGTCAGAACCAATAGGCGAATAATTGGCAAGGTCAAAATGTGGCTTGAGAAAAATGAATAGATTGGTCTGTTCAGAAGCTAGAATAACCTATGTGAGCTTGACACAGTGCAGCCATTACATAGCCTCCACACTCTAATCCGTTAGTTAAACTGAATAAGAAATCAGTTTGAAGACAGCATATCAAATGTACTGTTTTGTTTCTATGAGTTAATGATTCCTTTGTACTTGATGTTTTCCTGATTTCAAATCTCAATTGCAATACGATGTTTGTTTCTCTTCTGTCTAAACTGCGTTATTTCTGGTACCCTAGTTCGTACAATAATTCAAATACTTTGAATTATCACATATACCTTTTCCATTTACTGTCTGCCACTATCCAGTCTTCATGATTTTCAATGTTAGTAACAACATTTTTAATTGGCTTTCGTATGGTGTTTGATAACAGTTATGTACTTAAGATGACTGGTCAATTGTCCAGTTGTTGATTCTGTCTCAGTGATTAGAGTTTAGTATCATATGGTATACTGCTATCCACGGGTTGATTGACAGTCTTATTTATGCACATAACAAACATTCCTTGTTA